GTATTTGATTTGAGTTTCTCTTTGTGTGTCCTCAGTTTCCCAGCATGCTCTGGCTGTGGTGGTGGAGGTGAATGAGGGGGAAAGGTCTGTCCTGCTGCCCTGTCTTTTCTCAGGTATTACACCTGAGGACACCACAGTGATGTGGACTTGCAGTGACCTCGATCCCAAATCTGTTCACCTACAAGGAGAAAAAGGAGGAGACGATGTTAGAGGACAAAACCAGCGTTACAGCAGACGCACATCAGTGAATCGTTACGCTTTCATCATTAATGACTTCAGCCTCACTCTGAGGAAACCCACAAAGACTGACAGCGGCAACTACACCTGCTCCATCAGTGCTGGAGGGAAAGAACGGAGACTCAGAGACATCCAGCTGCAGGTCAAAGGTCAGCAACGAGCCCAACACCTGCTGTAATTACAGGTCAATACTCTAGTCAAAGGTCAGAGGTCAAACTGATGCAAATTAATTCCCAAAGTCTTGTAAAAATACAGATGAAACCCGCAGCATCATTTAGCACAGATGTAACCTCAGAGTAAACACGAACAACAAAGCAGGAGATGACTGCAGAGAACTGCTGCAGCAGTGTGTGTTTACCACAGTGTGTTTACCACACACATTTCTGTAAATATGTAAATAAATGACATTCTATGCATCACCCAGCACAAAACACTCAGAGGAATTTTGCTGCTGCTTCTACGCTTTATGTTGTGGTTTCTTGTCCTCTCAGACCAGCAGGTGGAGGTGAAGGTGAGGGAAGGGTCACAGTTTGTCATCCTGCCCTGCAACACAACACCTGACCTGCCTGAGGACAGCACAGTGGAGTGGACTCGCTCTGACCTCGGACTCATCACAGTCCATGAGTATTCTAACAGAAATGATGAGCTCATGACTCAGGATGAAGTTTACAGAGACCGAACGAAGATGAATGAAGACCTGCTGAGAACTGGAGACCTCAGTCTGACCCTGAAACAGCCCAAAGTGAAAGACACAGGACGATACATCTGCACCATCTACAGGGACAAAGACATCCTGAGACAAAAAGTAGTGCTGCAGGTCAAAGGTCAGTGCTGTAAGTTGAGGTCAGAGGTCAGTTTTCTAGATACAGGTCACAGGTCAGAAATCTTTTTTATGCTCATCCACAGAACCATTTCCATCCTGGTCCAAAGTTTTAGTGGGTCTCCTGGTTCTCCTGGTTGTTCTTGGGGTTTCTGGAGGTCTTTTTTTTCATTTGCGGCAGTATTTCATGTCAGGTGAGTGTCTCCTACTACACTACCCATAATGCCGAGCGTTAGCAGGTGTCTGCTCATGTTTCAAACCTCTTTTCCCCACTCTGCGACACACCTGCCGGGGATCAAACACTGGTTTGTGGCTCTATAAAAAGGAACTCCATAAACCTTTGACATCTGACAAAAAGTCAGAGCACTCTTGAGACAACCATTCATTTAGTGTTAATGGTGATAACTTCATCAATTTCTTCACAAATACAATTTTAACCATTAGAGAAAGAATTACCCACAAGATCAAGGTGGCA